AGTGGTCCCAGTGCTAACTCGGAATAAGGTCACCCAGACCCTACCCAAGGAGGAACATGATGCACTTAGACACCTACAGAAAGATGAGAACATTGTAATTCTACCAGCGGACAAAGGGCGCATGACAGTGATATTGGACAAACCAGAGTATATTAAAAAGGCCAAAGAACTGTTATCCGACACAACTACATATCGGCAGATCGATCAAGACCCAAGTTCAAAACTGGTCAACCAGATCAACGCAACGCTAAAGAAACTACAAACAAAGAACGAGCTCACCGCCACGGAGAGATGGAAAATGAAAGCTGATGATACGAATATTGCACCGTTCTATGGACTACCAAAAATACACAAGGATGGAGTCCCACTACGACCGATCGTCTCGCTCCCCGGAACCCCATCATATAAACTAGCGAAGGAGTTGTGGAGGAGATTGAAACATTTGATTGCTGGATCCGAACATAGCATCAACAATGCAGAACAATTCCTCCACAAACTGCGAAGTGTCAGAATAGAAGACGACGAAATAATGCTTTCATTCGATGTCACCGCGCTCTTCACTTCAATCGGTCACGAATTGGCCAAAGAAACCATGATGGAACTACTTGAGAACCAACTAAGCCCAACGACAACCCTAAGACCGGAAAGTTTTTGGGAACTCCTGAACCTTTGCATGACCACTTATTTCCGCTTTGATGGACAAGTATACCAACAATTGAGAGGAACTCCCATGGGATCTCCAATCTCGGGACTCATTGCAGAAGCCGTAATGCAGAAATTAGAGCGCATCGCACTGCCATCTATCAGGCCAAAACTCTGGATACGATACGTGGACGACACGTTTGTTATCGTAAAACGGAAGCAAGTACAAGCCACGCACGAGTTGCTCAACAACACATTCGACGATATCAAATTCACGATTGAAGTAGAGAAGAATAACAAGTTGCCATTTTTGGATGTTCTGGTCACTAGGAATCCCAACGGAGCTCTGCAAACGTGCGTTTATCGGAATAAAACGCATACGGACCAGATATTAAACTTGCACAGCAACCACCCGATGAATCACAAGAAGAGCTGTATTCAAACCCTATTCAAAAGAGCGGAAACGCACTGCAGCACAGCCGAGTTGCGGAAACAGGAAGAAAAGCATCTATACCAAGTGTTCAAAAACAACGGTTATCCGAGAAACTTCATCAGAAGAAGCCTAAAGAAACGAACGTCTCATCATCCACAACAACAGCAGCAGCAGGCACCTGAGCAAGCAAACAGACGAATAGTGCTCCCTTACATAAAGAACGTCTCCGAACTAACAGGAAGATTGCTACAGTCATATGGGATCTCTGTGGCTCACAAACCAAGTGCTACCCTAAGGAAATTGATCTCAAGACCCAAAGGAAAAGTCAATCAAGCCGACCAATGCAATGTCATCTATCAGTTAAATGCAGCGACTGCGATAAAAACTATGTCGGACAAACTGGAAGGAAGCTTTGTACACGAATCACCGAACACAAGGCGGCCGTCAGAAGACATGATCCGCACTCATTGGTTTCTGTGCACGAAGATCAAGAAGGCCACCATTTCGATCTGGAGCATGTTAAGATCTTAGCACATGGAAGTACAAAACATGCCAGGGAGTTTTTGGAAGCCTGGTACTCCACAACGAATTCAATCAATCGACACATCGAACTGGACGCAGTATACGCAACACTACTGGCGAAAGACCGCCAACTCAATCGATTGAATCCGGTGGAACGTGTGACTAGCCAACCAGGATTGACGGCAGACTCGCCCACAAGCGCAAGCAGACAAAGACCACGAAACACAAGGAGTCAAGGTCAAAGGTCACTTGCCCATCAATCAGGCTGAAGACGGATCGAAATCCCAACCAATAGAATTGCTCGCCTCCACGGGCAACCACCGCGGTATAAAATACGCACGCACACCACGCGCAGCGCACTCTCACCGAGGCTCCCCTACGCTATTCTACGCTACTGCACGCTACTCAACTACGCACTGATGATGTCACCTCGATTGGTGACGAAACGTTTGCAACCAAATTGCCAAGCTCAGCGAACAGTTCAACTGCCAGTTAATAGATTATTCAGATAGTCAAAATAATGCAATAATGTGGAATGAAATTTGTCCACCTTAAAAAGACCTGGTTTAAGTGTAAGTTGGTTTAGCCCAACTGCGGTGAAGAGTTATCAAGTATGCAACATCTGCCTCATCATGAGACTAATTATTATTTCATGATGTATCTGCCATCCAGTTCAGATGTTAACACTGCGCACACTGCACATTGGTCCGCTTGCCGGACATTTTATATCCCGGCCATGGAACGTTATCGAGGATCGCAACTTGTGATTTCCACGGTTGGCGGCAGTTGTTTCTGCCCGCCGGTTAGCTGATCAGGCTGCTCTCTTTAACTGCGTTTTCGCATTTTTTTCCTGTGGTCATCATTTTTTCTTAGAATGGTGCTCCTTTCGTCAAGCGTGGCATTGCACATTTTGGTGACAGAATAGGCCGTTGTCTTCGCACTGGAGTGCTGGAGGCAAGGGCAAGAACCCCTTATTGAGCCAAGCTCAAGTAGACAGATAGTTGTGCATTCGCGGAACAAGACGCAGGCTGTGATTTGGTCAGAATGTTTGGTGCACTCGGGGAGGTCAGGGAAATAAAGACATGGGTATGCTAACCATAGCAAGCTGTCCCTAAAATCACTTGTGTACTGGATAGACAAGAAGAGCACCTGTACCGTCATCAACAATAAGGAAATGGTTCTGTCCCCTTGATCAGAGCACCTTCAGATTAGATGGCGTCATCCCAAATGCTCTGTGTTCAGATAAAAAAGAGTGCGTGGACTAGGGAAACATATGGCTGCCATTCGAAACTGTAATAGGCAAGCCAGTAATATCGCAGCAATATCTCTTCTATTAGTTCGACTTCTGTTGTGGCAGCAAAACATATATATATATATATATATATATATATATATATATATATATGTGCCCTAATGCCTTTCTTTCTCATACAGATGCCTAGTGATGTCTAGTGAGTCATGAGCGAGGCCACTCCGGACCACTACAGAAGCGACGACGCGTTCTGCAGAGAAGGTAGGCAGAACCGGCGCAGCGTTTGTAGGTTCGCTGCATTTGATTTACTAACCACGTGCTTGCATGCTAAGTCTCTTTATTTCAGGTGGTGGGTTATCAATTTTGCCTAAATGCCTTTCTTTCTCATATAAATGTCTACCTGTATTCTATTCCATTAACTTGCACACCTCGCTTAAGCCAATTGTATTCGATTTCCATAACATTTATGTTTTCGTGGCATTTCCGTAAAGCATACTTTGACCTCGTGAACTTATCTAGGATCCTTTCGTAAACAACTTATTTCATATGCTCATTAACTTAAGGTTTATGTCACCGTTTCCTTATGCATTAATCGAGTTATTTTCCTTGTCTCTCTCTCTCTCTCAAATGGTTGGCTGTTGTTTGGTATCCCAGGTGTGGCTGCGCTTGATGTGCATGTTGACAAGGTGCCTACCTGTCTATTACCCGCTACCTCGTCCATACTGGTTCCAGGAGACAGTTGGTCGTTGCTGGAGGAGACGGGGTGCACGGTCCTTGTGGTTTTGCTAGGCTCGAAGCATGGTTCCATGCAATCAGTGTAGAGCGGACTTCGGTCCAGCCACCGCCTTGTGTGCACTTGATTCCCCAAATACAGCGTGCTTGTGTTTGTCTGTGATGGAATGTGGGCCGACTCCGTTGATGAAACGTGGCTCCCATCCACATGCCTCTCGGTCTTATTCCTTCGGGTTTACACTGTATATGGGGTATGTGGTTAGAACTGTGGGTGGTGCAGTGCAAGCCACCCATGGTCCCTCTGTAGGCGCAGACGTCCTGTGGCTGACCGCAGTGACAGGCAAATCCAAAACCGGATGCCGCCAACCACATATATAGCAAACGTGCCCATTTCCTAGAATGGACTCAGTTGCTGAAAGTGGTGTGAGCAGTAGAAACCAACCCAGCCTTTTCCTAAACGGCAGTATTTAAGAGCAGCCCAGGAACTGTGGCAACTTTCACCAACTGTTTACGCGAACACTCAAATTCACGTCCGGATCCATCCGGTTAGATGACCGTTTAGATGACTGGTTCAGGCACATAATACGCTTGATGTCTTGCTGTCAACAGAGAAGATACTCATTCGTTAGCCAGGTGCAAGATACTTAAAAGATTTGGCAGCGGGAATTTACATCTGACCAATTGGTTGGGTGCGCGCGACTATTCAGATACAGGGGGACAAAGGTCCCACTTGAAATTGCAGTCAGATTATGACCGGTCTAATTAGTCCAATGTGAAACTGGTCGTTCGTTACACAGCACAAAGCTAGAGTATTAAAGGTGTCAGTTAAGATGAAGATGGTGCAACAGCTGCCTGGAAACAGGATAGGGGTAGATTTCGCAACTTGTACACCGACACACATGCCTCCGTTGTTCCGACCTAGAATGGTGAGTTACGTCTGTCAATTCGATCTCATCGCCCAGCTGAGAATTGCCTAACACAACTGGGGTTCAAGTTTTCGTGATTCGCTTGTTTGTACATTGGTTTTAGTTGTAATTTGCTTAGTGACTAAGCCTGATCTGTTGTCGAGCAATCGTCAGTGAAGGAATTTTTGCATTGGACCAGCAATAGGGTAGGGCCTGTTGCTACTGATGGTTAATTATATTGTTATTCTGGAAGCATAATTTGCATGGAACATTCCTGATACTATATTCAGGGGTCATACATGCAAAAATGTACTGCGCCATGGTTTCAGTAAGGACTAAAAAAATGATAACCAGATGTCAGGCATTCATGTTATGAATTGTGGAATGACAGTTACTCATTATCCCTGCGCTACATGACTGACATCCAACATAAACGAACACTGGTAGAGAAGGCATATATTACCTTTACCATCTGCCCAGTATATTGATTACATACGTCAAAGGAGGTACTCACCTCGTCCCTGTGCCAGCCAGTTGTTGATGGTGAGCGTGTGGCGTCCGATCTTATTCTTGTTTACAACAGCCGCTTCATAGATTACTTGGTAGGTGTTGAGGAACACAATCCGTCTCCCCATTAGCGTTATTTGAACAACATCACCGTATGCTTTGTGCAGCTTTGCGGCTTCGCGGAGTGCGGATGGTCCTTTACAAATTAGGAAGCAGGCAATGTACACAAAATTATTCGTTTGATTACATTCACTTATTCACATACAAGCATATTTACTGTTTGCCTCCGCCTGCTGCAATTACTTTCGGCCGAAACATTGGAATTAAGGTATTCAGTGGTAATCCAACGATAGCGAACAAGTTCAAACTCGATGTGCTTTAAATGTGAGTGACTCACGAGTGCACGAACCACTGCAATGATCCATCCTTGCGAACGCATTCAGTTCGAATGTGATTACTAATTTGTACTTGAGCGAGAATCCTAGCAACCTGCTAGTGACAAGCATTGTGCATGCTAACGAGATTATTTCACAGGTACATCATAGTACGCCAACGGAACTTACCTCAGTGCTTAGACAACTTGTACTCGTCACTTGGAGTAAGGCCGTCAGTCATATATCTGGAGGTAGTCGTGATGAGATGTAGCCATGCACGAAATAGATACATTTACTGGTGCAGTTCCTTTGATGTTTTAGCCAGGAATATTTCGAGTTCTCGGCTACATAATCAGGCTTCACTTGATTCAATGCTTCTGACGGTGCTTTGAGAACCTCCGTTGGTTTACGAAAACAACTCAGTGTTGCTTACGTAGTACTTAACTCCTGAAAACTACGCACATATCTTTAAGTTCACTGAATTTGCAAACCAATGTTTGCAAGGGAAACACTAGTTTCTAACGGTTCACAATGTGGAAGAGGTTCAAATTTGTCGCATGATCTGTTTAACTCATACATTGAAGAAACTGAATCTGTGATTTAGTCTAGAAACGTGATATCTGTTGCGAATTTGTTACATAGCTGAACCGGTTTCCAAGCATATCAGGATTCCAATCTCCGTTCTAACGGCGAATCGGTTTTCAGCAGCGTCTGCTTTTAACATAGGCTTCGGTGGGTGGTGTGCACACAGTTCGGATTACGGATGGGAACACTGGAAAGGTGGCGAGAGTTCAGGTGCTTTAATTCGTGATCAATCGCGACTCCTTAAAGCTACCTTCACTTGGTTGAGGTTAGGTAATTTATCAGTGGACCAACCGTCCCACTGTTGTACACTTGTGTAGGCGCATAACCCATCTTCATGTTCTTGGGTTGAAATCCCAGCTGAACTCACAATGAATTCGTGCCCCAAAAGCGCATCCAGTGTACGGTTCGTGGTCACGTTGTGGGGTGCGATAATTGACTCTTTCAATGAGAACCTTCCAGAGGTTTCTTTGGCGTTGTATCAAAGTGCCGCTGGCAGCTGACTAATCCAGAACGAGTGTGACAACCGGAATAGTATTCTCATGGTGATGTTATGCGCGTTGATGGCGGCGCATTTGAAAATCTGTCAAGCTGTATAAACATTTGGATTATGCTTAGGAATATCCTATGGTGTCCGACTGTATTATTGATATGGGTGAGGTGAGTTGCCTAAAATTATTCCACTAAATTGTTACACCTGATTTCGTAGTACACAAAAAGTTGACGTAAGGAAACAACTTGGTGTGCGTTGCTCAGCAGAGCAGTGTCCTACTTAATGGCTGTGTTCTCCTGTCAACTTGGTCCACTTCCGTTAGTTTGCATTCCAATCAGGCCGGGTGTCATATATTTGATGTGGACCTATAAGAGAGTACGAACACTTGAAGGTATTCAACCACGGACCCCTCCTCGCTAGAGTTCAAAACGGCCCTCCTGAATTTGTCGACAATCCTCTCCACTTGACCATTGGACTGTGTATGGTTACTGCCATCTTCCAACTCCAAATGGGGGTCAAAACTGGATTAGCTCCCTACCGCGACCCATGGAAGAAGTCCTGAACCAGACACAAACCCAAACCTGGTCCGGTCGGCAGCTCTGTGAGCCTGCTGGTCATATTCCAAGTCAATGCTGCAAATCTTAAAAGATTCGTCGTCTTCTTTGTCAACGTTCAATCCCTCCGATTGCATTTAGACACTGAGTCCTACATCACGATAATCTACGGGGGTCTCTGGCAACCCATTGCCACGCCTCTATCGAACGGACTTCCCACTCAGCCACCAGCTACTGTGGTGGTCGTGTGCAGCTAATTGGGCAGCTGCACTGCTCTGTCTCCTTCCGAGACGCCACTTTCATCGAGAACTGCTACATCACGAATGCGAAGCTCGACCTGCTTGGTCTCGACTGGCTCGAAACACTTGGCATAGTCGATCTGAATCTTCCAGTCATCTAAAACGCGGTACATTCTCCGGCGGTACCAAGTGATCGAACCGACAACACCAACAAACAGTTCGACCCGGTGTTCCAGGATGGTTTTGGCCGCTGTACACGCACGCGCCGTGTTACATCTCCTACTTGGGGCTCAGCCGATATTCCGTCCCAAAAGACCTTTCCCATGCGCAACTGCACGCTTGCTCAATACCGAAATTAAACGCTCAGAATCCATGAGCGTCCTAGTGTCTGTGTCCTATTTTGCCTGGGCAGCGCCGAGCGCCGTGCTCAAAAAGCTGAGTGGAGCCCACCGCATCTGGGGCGATTTCTCCACCGGTCTCAAAGTGTGCTAGAGCTAAAGTGCTACCCACTACCGATCCCAGCAGACTACTTCACAATATTCAACGGTAGTACGTGTTTCGCCAAATCGACCTGGCAGACGCCTACCTGCAGATCAAATTCGCCCCTGAGTCAAGAGCCCTGTCGACGATCAACAAACCTCGTGGAGTTCTTCAGGACACCAGGCTCCCGTTTGGTGTCAAAACCGCTCCGCGCTTTTTCTAACAGACAATGGACACCATTATCTCTGGCATAAGGAGTACGGCCGCGTACCTGAACAACCTACTCATTGTTGGTCACACCCCAGGAGAGCTTCGAGAGCACTTGGTTGCTGTCCTTCAGCGTGTCCAGGAGTACGGTTTCCATTTGAAAGCCGAGAAATGTCAGTTGTTTCTTCTATCGATCAAAAAATTTGGTTTCATTTTCGATGTCAGTGACCGTCATTCTGATCGTGAGAACATCAGAGCCACCCAGCAAATGCCAGCTCTAATGGATGTGTCGCAAATGCGGTCATTCCTGTGTCTCATCCGCTACTACAACGCCTTCCTTCCATCGCTATACCATGTTCCAGCCCCGCCCAGTTGCCTGTTGCAGAAGGACTTCCTCTGGCACTGGTCCCCTCATGCAAGATGCCTTCGTCCATCTGAAATCCATGCTTAGTTCTGACATACTGCTGACCTATTACAACCAAACCTAGCAGATTTTTGTCGCTGTTTACGGCTCTTCCTGTGGGATCGGTGCAGTTCTCGCACATCGCTTCATAAATGGTTCCGAAAAAGCGGTTATGCATGTCGCACGTACCCAGACGCCTGCGGAGGAGAAAACCCTGGCTAGCCTGTTTGCCTTCACCAAGTTCCACAAGATGCTATATGGCTGACGGTTTACACTGCTGACCAGTACTAAGTCACTACTTTCCGTCTTCGGTTCAAAGAAGAATATTCCCGCATACTAGGCTAGCGGACTTCCACGTTGGGCTTTAATCCTTCTTGGTTAGGACTTCGAAATCCGCTGCTGCAATAAGCTGGATTTCGGTCAATCCGACGAATCTGCTCGCCGTATTTCCAAACATGCTACAGAAGAAGACACGGTTATCGCCGATGTTGCCGTCGAGGATGAGGTTCGTCATCCCCTCTCGGTTATCCGAAGTTTCTCCATTACTGCCCTCGTTATATATATAGCGCTACTGCACTCTTGTGTATTCTGTCAGCAGTCTTGACGGCTAGTCTAAACAGACACGTGCACACAACTCCAGACACACACACACACACAAAGCGTCTAATTCTCTGTTTCCCCATTGGTTCATCCTTCTCCTTGCGTCACCTTAATGTACTCACCCAGTGTTAGGTCAGACCAAAGTCAAATGCACACAGAAACGAAACAACTTGACATGTTCGGGAAGGTAAGTGTGCAATTTCCCCAAGTAATCGTGTGCCTTGTATCAGAACGGTCTCTGCTACAATCAGACTAGAGTTTTCCTGTGTGCCAGAACATTCGTCACAACCGCTTGTTTCATACCACTCACATGTCCCGTGATGCATTGAGGTCGATAAATTCAAATTAACACTAAGTCGTGAGTTGAACTATAATCAGAGTGTTTTCTAACCCACGTCGGCCCGTGCATTGGTTCGCGAATATACTTCCTGTCCGGTGCGTTGTCTTTTGACTCGCGTGGCGCAAACTAAGAAGCTGCTAAGTCGAACCCTGGAGACACAACACCCAGTTAGACATTGATCAGATTACAGCAGTTCGTTTACAACAGTGACCTTTTAACTTGCTCATGCATTTGACTTTTCATATACAACACTGGCGTCGCGGCTTACGAACCTACGCCATGGAATTACATCCTCCTACAGTTTACTGGTCTGATCCGACCTTACGACCTACCGAAAATGCATTAGCCCAGTGGAAAACCTCGTTTACAAACTATTTGGACCTACTACCTGCGGCTTCTAACTTCACTGAAGGCCAGAAACTGAAGCTTCTAAGACACCTAGTCGGTGTTGAGGGACAACGTCCATTTGATGCTTTGGAGCTCTAGTCACAAGATACCACAAGGAAAGCCCTAGAGGTGCTGGACAAGTCATGGGGACAGTGTACAAACCTCTTCATGGCTCGCCTCAAATTCGGCCGACTTAAACAGGAACCATCAGAAACGTTAGATGGTTTCGTTGATCGCTTCAATCGCGGTATACGACCCTGCGAGTATCCAACCATACCGAAAAATAGAATCGAGGGCGTAATGCTAGTGCAGCAGTTGGCTAGTGGAATCACCAACAACCGAATTCGGGAATGTCTACTTTCCGAAGACCTTTCCAAATTTACTTGGGATAAGGCTGTGGAATTAGCTCGCCTTAAAACATGTTTGGGCCTCTGAGAAGTGAAATTTGTTCATGTTCGGAAGACCCTTCACTCTTCGTACAGACCACGCAGCGCTAACTAGTTCACTTACTCGGGGAACAAATGGCACCAGGCCACT